AAATAACTCCAATGTCAAAGTAGCATTTTGGGCCCGAAGAAATAATCTGACTAGCAATAATGCGACTTATCTGATCACCTTCACAGCTTGCCACTTTCATTTGACTCCGTTTGGTATGCGATTTTTCGCCCACTTGTTTCTTATCCCCTTCTTTCTTTCTATTCCGTAGGTTGGCTGATAGGAAGGCTTGACTTTTCGTTACTTGATAAGTTAGTTGGTAAGAGGGAATGAAGACGAACAGATGGTGATTTTTGCAGTCCTCTCCAAGGCTTTCACACTGAGATAGTTATTTCCGGAAAGCAAAGACACACTGAGGATCTGTGTGTACTCTTTTCCCCTTTCTCTCTCTCTCGCTCTCTCGAAAGGGCTGAAGAGAAGTGTGGGGAAGAACAAAGGAAGTGAAGCACTTTGCAACTCTCATTTGCTTCCTGAATATCCTGCCCTTTGTATAAGAGCACTCATTCAATCAGCTGTCTCTTGGGCTTACTTAGGAAGGCCACAATTTGGCCAATCTGCCCACAGGTGATAGCAGTAGCTGAGAGGAATATTTCCTTCCTCTACCTTTTTAATAAAAAAGCTTTTATGTACAGTAGACTTTCACTATTCATATCTCCTGGCAATTAACTGATTGTTACCTATTTTGTCCGCTCAATGTAAATTGTTGTCAACATTCGGTCAACCTTCAAATAGCACAATTCCAAGTCTCTGAAACATTTTTCTTGAGAAGCCCTTTTTCCTTATCGAAACTGAAACAGGAGCAGGACAATGCAAGAGTCTCCACCAGTGTCTGGTGGAGAAAAGGCCAAATTTGCTCCAAGTAAGAAGCCGCCACTTGTTAATAACCGACTCAGCAGGGTGAGGAAGTGGCTCTTCAGTGTCTCCAACCACCAAGAAATCATTAATGTGCTATAGTCAGTTAAAACAAAAATAGGGAATGACACAGTCATCACCTACACCTTTCAAGATTGGGCTTCTCCTGCAAATTTCAGGCATCTCTCACTTCTGCTATGCAATTCCTAATGAGCAGTATATCGGTATTTGGAGTCATCCCAACATTCACACAGGTAGAGGAAAGTTTTGTGAGGGGAACGTAGGGTCCACTTTATTTATTTTTCGCTGGGCCTAGAACGGAAATTTGAATTTGGGGTGTTGAGGACATTTGTCGAAGTTCAGACCCAATGTGAAGTAAAGCAACTTCATCGACGCTCTTTCCCTTCTCGTAATCTCTACCTCCAGTTTGGAACAGCCGAGTCGAGTAGGTCGGCTGGAGGAAAGCATTTTATACGATGCAGCACGGTTGCATTACAAGCAAACATACGTTTACTGGAGACTATTGTAGGTCTCCTCTTCCTCCTTCTCCTCACTCCCCTTGGGAAACGGCGACACCGGCTTGACCACAAAGCCGTTGTAAACTGATCTACTGCCACCTCAAAGGTTATATCATTTGATGAACTGACACCGTCTTCCCCCTCCTCCAAGTTTTAACAAGTTATTGGTAATGTCTTTATCAAAAGACGTCGTAAACAGCTTAGCTACCTGGCAGTTCAGTTGCAGCAGGAGTTATGGTTCGTTCAAGCATAAAAATTCAGACGAATACAACATGACTAAAGAAACGTTTTAAATTCCTCTTAGTGATTCCACAATATTTTTCCACATAATAAGTGGCACTCTTGTTAGTCGCATCAGATAACCACGTCGTCTGAATTCACCATTTTCTTGTCCTGCTTAGCATCCGCATTTTGTGGGGCGGTAATTTATAAAATTAAATCACAGATTCTACTAGGCATGCAGTCCAGTGCTCTCATTTCCTACCTATTTAAGCGCAATACCTAAGAAT